TGTCACCGACACCACCACCACGAAGGGAATGGACATCCGCAGTGTGGCTGGCTTACAGAATTATCAGATTCTCATTCCTTCCCGTCTCCCGATTAGAATTACGCGTATACCGAGGCACAAGGGGAACTTGTGAAGGAAGTATCAAGTTCAAGCAACTCAGCAATCTGGCGTTATGGGACCCCCTTGGCGTCCAGTGACGCGAGGTTACTGAGTTCACCAATATGCCGACGATTAACGAACGGGAAACGCGGGACTAGTAGTCTCTGTAGAATGTGAGGGGACCCATGCCAGCGCCACCGACGGACAAATTCGGCGGATGCAACGGGATCCATGAGCCACGTTAATTAACATGTCGTACGGGCTGTACAGAGACTATGCGGCATGTGGTACGTTTTATTTAGCTGCCCGCACGATAACGGAATTCGGCCAGATCATACGACAGGAAACCGGCAAAAACCGAGCCGCGGAATATCTTCGCCAGCGGATAAGCATCGAAATCCAACGAGGAAATGCGGCATCGATCTTGGGGACAGCGCCGATAGGGGCAAATTTAGACCAAATTTTCTCTGTGATTAGGCCGCCTCTGTCGATTGATGCTTAACGTGATCGTTTCTGAAGTTCCAGTTACTGTGAAATTTTTTTGTGAACAGAAAGTATGCGATGGCTTTCTGTTGTGAACAGAAAGCCATCGCATTCGGAAAATAAAGTTCCTTCGTACACTTTATGTAACGCTTAGCGCGCAGGCCGCCCATTTCTACGGAAGGTATATACTGTATTATTACAACTATGCAGGAGTATCTACGGACGTATTCAAGAAGAAGCACGAGATTTCGCTGCTGTTCGCAAGATGGAAGCTATTTGGTTGTACAAAATCAAGCATAGCTCTAACCGGAAACTAAGGCGCAGCGTACAGTACATAACCGCAAATGAAATGACAGTTTGACACCATCGGCACCGACCAGAGTCTAATGATCTGTTACATTAGAATACTGCATTTAATTTTACTGGTAACCGGGCCGGGTAACCCCTATTCTAAGTATTCTATGTATATACAGTATGTATGTATTCTATGTATTCTGTGTATTTTTATTCTATGTATGCATCTATTCTATGTATATATGTATGTATATGTAATTCCGCATACGAAACACCCACAAAGCCATTCCAAGTAAGAAGTCCTTAAACGAACTACTACAGCTAGAACAGAGATCCACAGCAAACGAGATCTGTGTACAATACATGCAGTTGCCGGTTAAATAACGTGCAGGTAAGCCTCCTGAACAATCCACTCATCCAGACGGTCGTTGAGGCGGAACCAGCACTCGTACAGTCCGGCGTCCTTCCACTTGACCCTGTCGAACGTGAGGGTGGAGTGGCAGCGATACTGATCGTTCATGCCGGACCGGAAGCGTCCCGCGAAGCCCCACCACGACGTGACCTGTTCGGCCAGCGCCGGGATGGACGTGCTCTTCAGCAGGTAGTGTCCCCGGCGCCACAGGAAGCGGTTCTTCAGGTATCCCGGGAGGAAGTTGAAGCGCACCGGGCAGAACAGCTCCGCGGGGTCGCCGTAGCGGACGGTGAGGTTCTGCATGGGCGGATCGAAGACCTGGTCGCGGAGGAGGGTGGCGCTGACCCAGTAGCGCTGCGTCACCACCCGCTGGCTGCCGTTGGAGTGCAGGCACTCGTACAGACCGGTGGAGGCGTGCGAGAAGCTCTTGATCGTGATGAGAAACGCCCCGGTGTCCGGGTCGTAGTCGTGCCCCACCACATTGTTCCACACTACGTTCTCCCGCGGTTGAACGTCCCAGCTGCAGTTGCAGCAGTAGTTCACTTCGTCCCGCACTGGCAGGTCGATGGTGACATTGGTCAGAGTAACCAGCTGTCCGTTGTACGTGTACGCCGGCGGAATCGCGGTGTGCGAAACCTACCCATTGTACATACATGTACATGCACATATCATGACACATGTACCGTAACATACGTACATAATGTACGTACGTACATGTACCAATGTAGGTATATGAATTATATACGTACTATATATTTATATGTACAGTATATAAGGGGGAAAATGTGTCTAGCCGAACCAATCCCTTGTACTTCTGATGTAAGCCAGCTGGTGGTTTACGTTGTGGCTGCACAGCGTTTTATGTAAAGCGCTGCTATTAATCGTAAGATTGCAGGTACTGATAACAGGTAAGCAGCACTCGTACAACTGCAGGTGAACAGGCTAAAACTGTATTATAGCCCGGACCTGCCTGGTGCAGCTAATACCACATACCACATGTACCGTCAATGCCGCACAGCCTTAAAAGCAGCGCTTTACATAAAACGCTGTGCAGCCACAACGTAAACCACCAGCTGGCTTACATCAGAAGTACAAGGGATTGGTTCGGCTAGACACATTTTTCCCCCTATATACGTATAAATATATAGAAGTCGTACATCTATATAAGTCATATATACGTATACGTACAAGTCGTACTTGTACATACGTACATAATGTACGTATGTACATGTACGATTGTATATACGTATACGTATATATATTCAACCATAATAGGTAATTTTACATATATTATATCTATGTTATGTGTATGTACGTATACATATATTTACAGTATACATGTAAATTTTTATGCTTTTTATGCACGTATACATAATAAATTTATATGTACATGTACATGCATCAAGCTCACAGGAAGGTATATGTTTCGTCTCAATGTCGTACATATGAGCGGTACCTGCGTGCTGTTGGCGTACTGGCTGTTGTTGCAGGGCAGCACGAGTTTGCCGCCTTCGGGAGCGCGGATGATTGTCGTGTTGGGCGGCCATTCCGCCGCCGCGGAGGGAATTCCCGGGGGACTGGGGGCGCGCGCGTAGCCCAGCAGCTGCATGACGCCGCTGCCGTTGCGTTCTTTGGCGTCGTCCAGGATCCGGTTGACTACATTTACAACAACACCAATCAGGTTGGAGGGAAAAGAAACTGAATGCAACAGGTTGCAGGCTGTAACTTGCAGCTGCTGGCCGGATATTCTTCTAGGCTTAAGCCACATGGCGGCTATTCGCTGACATTTTGCACATACAGCACAGCAAAAGCAATCCACCTAACTATCTCTACGTGGGACAAAACAGGCCACATTTTGACGCTTTTCCTACAGAATCTCTTCCTAACCCTTCACGAATTCCTTTGAAGGCACTCAATGGTTGACAAAAAGGCCCATGCAAAAACACACCAAAGGTCACACAGTCTTTTACTGCCCCCAGGGGGGACGACGCCCCCCCCTCCAAGGGTACTATTTTAGGCCCTGCCGCAAGTCAACTGTACAGTGACTCACTTGTATCCACGCTGAGCCCCTGCTTGGCGCAGGCCCAACAGCCCGGGATGAGGCTGGTCAAGCAGAGCGCCACGGCCGCCACCACGATTCGGTAGCACAGTCACCAGTGGACGCATAATTCAACGATAAATAGGGACAGGAATAACTAATAATAATAAGGATGATGGTACACAGGATAACGTCCTCCGACTAAATTCACTGGTAGAAGGAACAGTCACGAATCACGCGTAGGATAGGATAAGAATTCCCGAAAGGAAACGCTCAAGAATGAGGAATATTATTATCGCCCGTAGTGACAGTACGACGTTCAGTTAAGTACGATCACAGACTGAACTGGCGGCGCGCTATCGGGGCTCTTATATACATCGAAGCCTACTCTGTCCAGACTGTGCGAAGCAATCCTGGCGGTCTGACAAAGACAGCCCATCTGTGCAGCGGCTTCTGTGTCCGTGCCGTCGGCGTCTCCCTGTGATACTTGTTAATACTGCTCTCATTTAGACGGATATTTAATTGTTAACTATGAAGTAGTGCAGCAGCGCTTGCAGTTATTGTTATTTGGCTGGCCATCAACAATAAATTGTTGTTAGACGAATACAAGGTTTAATCGTTAACTGATTTACGACAAGCAGAGTTAGGGAGTCCATTCCATTGAATGGAATTATGGAAGGCAGAACCGGTTTTGCGGCTTTAGCCATGTGTACAACTCAATGAGAGAGCGAAGACAGAGAACAGAGAGAAACACGGTTGCCGCGCTGACTGCTCAGTGAGCGGATATAGCGATGGATATGCGGCGCTCATTCATATTTCATCGTATCATTCGTATGCACTATGCAGTGTAATTGGACAGCGGCTAACGGTGCAGATTTAAGTACAGTAGTACTACTCGACACGCACTTTAAATGAGTTCTGTAACATAAAGTACCGGAAGTTCTGTAAAAGTGAATCTACCAATGGTACAGCACTGAATCTTATAGAGCGTTACAGAGCAACGAGACCATTAGCGTCAAACAGTGCCCAGTTACTGTAGCCGAATTTGCCAACAATTCATGTATTTTTCATTTCAATTTTGCAGCCGTTCCCTTTCTGTTTTTCTGACATTTCAAAGTTGTGGTATGTTGAAGAAATCAAATGACTAGTGAAAAAGTGAAAGACAACTTCGCACGGAAAGTACGGTGAGGTGGAATTTATCATTCCTCGCAGCTCTGCGCTGACGGCTATGGCGAAGTTGCCATCGATACAAATTCAAACATCATGAACCATGCACAGTCTTAGGCAGCTAAAACAGTTAACAAGCAGAACTGGAATATTGTTTCAATAGAAACAATTAAATTACCGCTGATTACGCCCTCAAAACTAAAAACAGGATTTTCGACGTACGGGGGCTGAGCATCCACATCAAAAAATAATTTTGACTTGGTAAAAGTACGAGTTCTGTATCGTAACGGAGCCAGGAGAGTTCCTTTTAGATACAGAACACTTTAACTCGGGCGTCCAATCAGAGATAAGGGGTGGTCACAAAATATTACAGAACTTCCGGCTCTGTATCTTACAGAACTCTTTTAAAGTGCGTGTCGAGTAGTACTAGTAAATAATTATTAAATTTGTCGCTGTGTTGATTACGGGATATATAAGCGCTGTACACGACTACACGCTGAAGCTGCAATTAATTTAATCCCTCTCACCGAATACCACACTTGCCGCGACACCGCAGCCCATCATACAACCGTATTAACAAGAAAAAACACTTCCGGCTCGATAAAAAAATAAATACAACAAAATGTGGATGCCAACGCTCTAGGCCGTGAGCGTATAGCGGCGGATTTTGCCGTCGCGGCAGCAGGAGAAGAGCTGGTCGCTGACGCGGCACACGCGGAACACCGGCTCGTACTCGGCGCCGCAGAACTCCATGGAATACTCGTTCTGCGGGTGCAGCAGCGGGTTGCGGTAGAAGCAGGAGCCGTCGGCCGTCCCGCAGATGACCCCGTTGCTCTGCGGACTGCTGGTGATGCACAGGATGCAGCCGCGGATCTCCCGCCAGTGACACACCGGCGTGTCCGGCCGCCGCCAGTCCAAATAATACATCTGGCCGCTCTCCGTCCCGCAGGCTAGATAGGGATGCTGGAGGAAGCGGCAGCACTGCACGCGGTCGTCCAGGAAGCGCTTCATCAGCGCCTTGTGACTGCTGCGCAGACACACCATGCGCAGGAACCCGTCGTCCCCGCCGTACATCAGGACGCGGCCGTCCTTGGGGTCGGCGGGGCTGGGGTGTCCCCAAAGGCCGCCTTCAGCGAGGGGTCGGCGGACTGGACGTCCAGGCAGTTGATGGTGAAGCCCAGGTTCACCGCCACCGATTCCAGCGGTTCACTGCGCGTCACGTCCCACAACCGGATCTGACCTACTTATTAGAAAATAAAGTTTTTTGCTTTACCTAGTTTTTCCAATTTTCCCATTTTTATCTTTGAACAGTAGATGAATTTTCTGTATTTTGCCCATTTTTCTCTATTTTATCAATTTTTCCGCATTTTTATTAATTTTTTCCCATTTTTTTTTGTAACCAGTACGCTAAATTTTCTTCGGTATATCAATTTTTCTTTTTTTTGAACCGTGCTGTCGTCGGTGAATATCCTTTACTGAGATAGTTTTTCGTATTTTCACCATTGTAAATTTTTATGTAAAATAGTCCAGTCGCTGTATTTTTTCTGATTTGGCTAAATTAAGAAATGACCGAAAAAGATTGATAATAAAATCATTTTTCAATGCCACAATACACCAATTTGAAGAGAAAAAACACGCTAAACTATTTTTTAAAGTAATAATAAAATAATTTTTTATTTTTTAAATAGGTCGAGCATCCGCTGTATTTTTCCAACACTCACCATCCTGTCCGGCGGAGAAGAGATGCCGGCCGCCTTCAGCGAAGAGCAAGTCGCTGACTTTACCGGTGTGTGCCCGCAGACTCCGCACGCTGCGCATCGTTCGGACGTTGTACAATTTAATGGCGTTGCTGTCGGCGGAATACGCGATCACCGCCTGCGCCGCGTTCGGCAGCCACTTCACCACGTTCCTGTAATCGAGGACAAGCAGCGCTTCAATTAATGCCTTTTATTAACGACACACTTCAGTGACTTCACCATTCATTTGCAGAAAATAATTACTTATTAACAAACTAATAACACTGCCGCTCTTTAAGTGCTCACTCGGCCGTTCACGTGCCACAACGAGACGCAATTAGCCTAAATTAATTAGGAAAAATAAGAAAAAAATCAAAATACACACAATTTAAATTTAATTAATTTTTAAAAATATCAAATTAAAAATAGGAAACAAATAAAAATAAGTACAAATTTAAATTCAGTTAATTTTTAAATAAATAAATAAAAATAACTACACGCAGCACGCACGTTTCGCCTTGATCCTGCAGATCGCACTTGATCTCCTCGTTGCCCAGACTCCACACCCGCACCGATTTGTCCACGGAGGCGGCGGCGCCCATCTGCAGATCCCAGTGGACGTCCACACAGCTGATACTCTTGGTAAACACCCGCTCGTAGACGCGGGCGGGCGCCACGAAGGTGGCCCGCGACTGACACCCCGGGATCTGGTCGAAGGCCATCTCCAGACTGCTGGGCGTCACGGCCAGCACCTGGAAGCCGGGTCGGCAGGCGAAGGCGGCGGCGGCGCCGTTCAGGGTGGTGTGGAGGGGCGAGGCGTAGCCGGGGGCGTCGGGGGCGGGCGGGGGCACCAGGCGGCAGTCGAAGCAGTCGCCCAGGATGGTGGAGCCCTCCATGCGGACGCCCACCCACACCTGGCCTTTGGAGAAGAGCACCTGCAAGGAAAATAAGAAATACAGCGCTTACGCCAAGATATCTGTACTGAATATCGTGAAAATGCAGTTGCATGCTCTGTCGACATGCCAACCGCCCCGGCTGCAGCGCTATCTGAATAACAGTGAAATTCAACATCGCGTCTTCTGACTCTTCTCCCGAACCTTGTCCCAGCTGGGATGGATCCACAGCCGCGAGATGGCTTTTAACCGCTCCGGTTCGTGCGGGTCCATGTCGGACTGGGCGTTGCGCTTGGGGAGGGAGGCGCTGGCCCCGCCGCCGCCACTGCTGCTGGTGCTGCCGCGCTTCTGCTGCGACATGCTCCGTCCATACTCCACAACACTCGATCACATCGACATCATTCTGGCCTGCGTGCTTGATTAGCCCACTCCACGCTATAAGCGTCACCATGCACACAATCAGCACGTTTCCACTTACGCAACTCAACAAGAATTATTTCCCACTTAATGAGACAATTTTGGACGTGGTCAACGCTTCTCTAACCCACAAGCAGAGAATATTCAGGAAAACGAAAAATTAAATCTAAATTTTTCACTGAGTTTTCCACACGTCGCATGTTTGTCAACATGCAGCGAGCCGTCGCCCCGTGGAGGTAGCAATAACAGAAACTGTGCGCAAGCGATGCGTTCTCTGCTTTCCCGCATGCACCGGCCCGGCCAAAGTACAGAGTCGAGCCTTCCAAGGCACGCATTTTGTAGTGTGAAAATTAGCCAGATCCGGATTTGCGTTGCGTTTGCAGACTTTGCTTTGGCGCATTCACATTTCACAGGCTTGCTACTGCATCGTCTGCTCTGCACCCTTCGTCAAGTATTATTCCTACACTTCTCACTCTCACTGTTTCATTACTCGCCATCTTTCGCCATTTTATTTATCCCTACTGTATATTTATTTATCCCTGATCGTTCGCCTGTCCGCGCTCCTCTCGTCTCACAGTGTGCTTGTATCTCTCTCAGTCTCGGCCAGCATGAACAGCGCTCCCACTCACAGCAGCAGCGACGGCGAATACGGCAGCGATCCCTCCAAGTCCTCCTCCTCCGCGGGCCGCTCCCCGCTCCCCGACAGCAATGACGCCTCCCCGCAGCCCACCGCCGGCAAGAAGTCCAGCGGGCAAAATAACAACAACCACAACTTCCAGAACTACACAGGTGAGGCGCAGATTGCGGCGCAGACTCTACTCTGAATCCGGCTTGCGGCAGCGACTGGTCTAATCGGCTCCCTGTACCGTGTCTACGGGAATGCAGTATACTATACAGTGAATTGGGCGCTTGCGCCGTACCAAGTTCTTGAATTATTGCTGTGCGGATTTTGTTGATGTTTTCGCCGATTTGGGCATTTGCATTTGGTTGCGAGTGTTATTGCTTGCTGGGAAATTAAGGGAATTTTTTTCTGCAGATGGATTGACGTTCTTCAAGATCCTGGTGCCGAGTATGGCCGGTAAGGGTGGTGTGTGTGTTGGTGTGCGGTCTAATCTACTTGCTTGCCACTTTACGTTGAGCCGCGTTATAAGCTGCTAATCCGACGTCAGAGCCCGTGTAGTCAGTAGTGCGCGGGTGAACGACCGCCAGCCGACCTTGAACTGTCTGGAACGGGCGCCAAACGTGCCCGCCCGTCACGTGCAAACCCCTGCTAATTTCTCCTTCCATTTGTTTTGCAGCTGGTGCCATCATCGGAAAAGGAGGTTCGTGATTATTCCTTCACAATAATTTATTTATTTGATTTTTCTATCAATTTTGCGGTTCGTAGATAATGATTGTACACGTATTGCGTAATATTTTATTCAAACGTGATGGTGAATTAAGTAGAAATTATAGTACAGATTTTAATACAGGCTGATTGGAAGAAAATTAAAAATTTAATTAATTATCGTTGCAAAAATAAAATTGCAATTTAATTTATCGCTTGCAGTCGTGATATTTTGCGTGGAAAATTGTTGTAAAATTATAACGTGTTATTTAATTGATTCACACTGTGAATTAGTTATAATTATTGCGGAAATTGTAATACAAGTTGCAGGGAAAAATAAGGAAATAAATATTTTATCGTTGCAAGAACCTGTGTACGTGCCGGTATGCAGTTGTTTGCGTAAATACTGAAGCGGCGTTGTACGTGTGTTGCAGGGGAGACGATCGCGCAGCTGCAGCAGGATACCGGCACCCGCATCAAAATGTAGGCGCAGTTCAACTGTCGATGCTGGACTGTATCGAATATCGATTGTCTAAAGCTGTGTATCACTAACCCTCTGCTGATTACAGGTCCAAGGCGACGGATTTCTTCCCCGGTAAGTCACCTCCCGCATTCAACGGGCCGGGTCGATCGCTCGTTCATTTCAGCCTTTTATCCTTTCTAACTGCCAAAAGCTACTTGAGCACGACTCGCTGCTCGTCAACAAATTAAGCGCTCCGGTGGGCAGCCGGTGCGCGGCTAATCCGCAGCATCCTTCGCGTTAATTTAATCATTTTTGAAAATCGCTGCAGGCATTTTATCACGCCTGTCAGTTAGAGTAATTGCAGACTACTGCGCAGAGGTACGCGTAAAATGGTGGTGTTGCATAGAGAAAGGTGTTGGCCAAAGGCTTGGTAATGGTTTGCTGTTAAGTCTTCGACCGGAAGTGCCGTTTGTCCACGTTGAACCGACCGGAAATCAGTTTGAATTTGTTAGTTGATTATTTTTAGCTGATTTGCTGAATTGTCACTTCATTTTTTGGTTTAAAATCATTGTGAAATTAATTCAAAATATTACTGGTCTTTGTAAATTTATTTGCGTAGCATTTTCTGGATATTTATTTTATTTGCGCACTTCCGCTTGTAAAATCATTCTGAAAAAAGGTTTGAAATTATTATTAATTTATTTACGTATTAGTTATCTGCTGGGTATGCGTTATATGTATCGGTTTAAAATTACTGGTACTATGAAAACGATATGGAAATATGCATCTTGGAAATTATTAAATACTGGGCTTTTAATTTTTAAATGATTGCGAAATGGGTTAGAAAGTGTTACTTATTGATTGAGTTATAAATTATTTACTTTGTATTCTTCACCTTATTTGTCGATTAAAAAGTAGTGGTTATTCCTTTCTGGACTTGCGAGCGGATGCGGTAAAAGTTGCACATTCAGAGCGCAGTATTGCTAGAATTCCCTGTAAAAGGCATATAAAATGCGAATAAATTGTTATAAAAATGAGCGTGATGGTTGAGACTTGAGAGGGACGTATTTGTGTGCAGGCACGAACGAGCGCGTGTGCATCATCTACGGCGCGAACGCGGAGGCCATCCTGTCCGTGCACGACTTCATCGCGCAGAAGATCCGCGACAAGCCGGACCCGGGCGCCAAGAGCGCCATCGACTACGACACGAAGCAGCCGGCGGAGCGCGAGAAGCAGGTGGGGACTGACAGCGTCTGTCATCCGTCAAACACTGACAGTCGACACGCAACGGCGTTGCAGGTGAAGATCCTGGTGCCCAACAGCACCGCCGGCATGATCATCGGCAAGGCCGGCAACTATATCAAGCACGTGAAGGAGGAGTCGGCGGCCTACGTGCAGATCTCGCAGAAGGCCAAGGACCACACCATCACCGAGCGCTGCATCACCGTCATCGGGGAGGCCGCGCAGAACCGGCGCGCCTGCCAGCTGATCCTCAACAAGATCTTCGAGGACCCCCAGAGCAACTCCTGCCCCAACCTGTCCTACGCCGACGTCATGGGCCCCGTGCCCAACTACAACCCCACCGGCAGCCCCTTCGCCAACGTGCTGGCGGGGGTGCCGTCCGGCCCGGCGGCCCCCGGGGGTCCCGGCGGGGAGATGAACCCCTACCACTCGGCCGCCAATCTCAACCAGATCTTTGGCACGCTGCGCAACACGCTGCGGCTGAGCGGGTTCACGGAGGAGGCCACCAACGAGATCCTGGCCGCCATGGGCACGCTGGCCAGCTACGGGATCCTGGGGCTGGGGCTGGGGCTCGGCGGGCTGAATGTCAACATGAATATGGGCTACGTGTCGCCGGTGTCCGGGGACCACGGCGTCGGTTGACTCCGGCTACGGGAACCTGCATTCCACCGCGCCCTCCAGCGTTAACGGGGCACCTCGCCCGGTAAATTAGCATCTTTATTTTTTTTACATTTTATTTCTTAAAAATATTCTTGTTAATTATATCTCATTTAATAGGGCATTTATCGAGGTTTCCGCTTTATTTTCAAATTATTTGTATTATATTTAATATTTATACTTGAATTTATATTCAAAATTGTAGTATGGTTTGTTTGTATGTATGAACATGAATTTATATTTTTTCTGCTTATTCACATTTTTTATTTGGATTATTGGCGATTTTAAAAAATTTAACTGAGGAGTTTTGGACGGTGCTTGGGTTTGTAATTTTGTCTTCGTTTTTGATTTTATTTTTTATTTATCTGTGAATTTTGTGCGGCTATTTTGGTGAATTTAAAAATTTTGGGTGGGCATTTATTTATGTTTATTTGAATTTTAATTTACTAATTTTATTTACTTATCTGAATTTTATTGAATTTTGATATAGGTACTAATCTTATTTATTTATCTGAATTTTTTGCTGTTAATTGTACCGTCTGATTGATGCGTGTTGGACGATTTTTTGTTTAGGCTACGGCGACGGGTCATCCAAGTCGCCGCTGCGCTTCAACGGGCACCACCCGCACGCGCACCCCCCGGGGGCGGCGGCGGACAGCGTGGAGATGGGCGGGTACGGCGCGGCGCACGCGCTGTACGAGCAGCAGCAGCAGTTGTCGCCGGGCCATCTGACCGACGCCGGCAACGCCTGGAGCCTGGGCCTGCAGCAGCAGCAACAGCAGCGCAACGCCACCAACCTGCCGCGCTGGGGCGGCGGGGGCGGGGGCGCCGCCAACGGCAGCCGGATGGCCAGCAACGGCGCGGGCTACCCGCACCAGGATACGGGCATGTCCATGAGCGGGGCCGGCGGCGGCGGCGGCGCCGGCGAGCGGACGCAGTGTAGTATTGAAATCAATGAGAATCTCGTGGGAGGTCAGTGCCTTTTATTCCCTGCATTTATTGTCATTTTTATTTTGGATTATTTTATTTTTTCGTGATATTAATCTGTATTTATTGCGACATATTTTTTCTCGTTTGCCAGGTCATTTGTTGACTTTACTAATTTTTTCAGTTTAAATTTATCTGCATTATTGCAATTTTAGAATTATTTTCATTCATTTATTCTGTGCATACATTAAATTATATTAATATTTTTTCTATTTTTTTCTGAAATTTATTTTTATTTTCTATGTAATTAATTGTTGATAGCGTGTTTAATATTTTATTATTTTTTATAGTTCGTTATTTCGCTGTTTAATCAAGTAATTCATTTATTTCGATTTAGTGTTTTCTTTTTTGCAGTATTTGTATTTATGGGCGTATTTGAGTGGTAATGGTTGGTTACTGTGTAGCGCTGTTGGGGCGGGAAGGGAAGAACGTGTCGGAGATCGAGGCCATGTGCGGCACGTCGATCCAGGTGACGAAGAAGAAGTTCAGCGCCGGCCGGCGCAGCGTCGTCATCACCGGCGCGCCGCAGCAGATCCAGATGACGCAGATGGTCATCCAGCAGCGTCTGGCGCAGGCCGAGGAGAAGCGCGCGCTGAGCCACAACCACAGCCACGCCCTGGCCGGCGACGGCGGCCCGCCGCCCTCCGGGGCGCCGCTCCTCAGTCCCGCCTCTCAGTTCGCCTGAAAACTGGGCGGCGCTGTATTGATCCGTTCCTGGTCAGAGCAGAGCAGAGCGCATCCTCTTCATCCCTCGCCCTCATCCTGCTTGTTGTCATCCCCGTTGTCATCCCGTTTCGTCATCCCTGGCTTTTAGCGTTTTAGCGCGGACGGTTTGTTGTCGGTTGTTGCGCGTTGTTTAGTGTTTATCTTTTATCTGTCGGGTTGGTGTCTCTCTGGTCTGTCCGCATTATCCGCCAACACCGCGGTTTGACGTCAGTGTGCAGAGCAGAGCAAGCTATTTTTCTATGTCTCCTATAGGTCTTCGTTTTATTTATGATAATTTTATTCGATTAAAGTGCAATTAAAAATCCTTCGCAATCGGCTGCCATTTTCCATATAATATTATTGTATTTTTTCCATTTATTATTGGTGTATTTTTTTCCATTTATTTATTGTAATTATTACGGTATCTACTATTGTAAGTATTATCTACTATATAAATTGTATTTACTGATTTTTTTATTTTTCCTTTTGCAATTTTAATTACACTTGTGGCCAATAAAAAAATGCTTAAGAAATCAGATATTTAATAAAATACCAATTATGTAAATGTTATTAATTTATTTATCATTCATTTGTTTGTCTACATTTTTTTATTAGTTTAATCATTTCAGATACTGTTATCGGTTATAGTCCAGTTTATAATCCTTTAGAACAGACCGTATTTCGATCATAACCGCTGAATTAATTACTCTGTTTAAATGAGCAAAAATGTCTGTATGAAATTGAAAAAACACAGTCATCGCGTTGAAAACGCAACAGGCACAGCTGTGCAAAATCACATAAAAATATTTATCCTCCATCATAACGTGTTCATATGACGGTATCCTCGTGGATCGTGTCGGGAATGGTGAGGACGACATCCGCGTCGAAACCCGCTTCCGGTGACTGCATCCGCCGCCAGACGGCGCCACCGTTCCCCGTCTGGACGGCGGCGTGCGCCATCCGCGGCATGTCCGAGTTGGCGCGCAGAAACGGCCGGTGGCGCTTCGCTCGGTCGGCCGTCTCGCTGGCGGTGCGCACCAGCCGGCGGGCGGTGGGCGGGGCGCCGGGGAAGGTCGAAGGGTCACCGGAAGTCCCGTAGCACGCCACCGGGAGGCTGCGGAGACGCAGGCGCCGGCTTAACCGGCGCAGCGGGTGTCCCTTGTCGTCCTCCTCCGGGCCGGCGTCCACCTGCACGGAGCCGGCGCGCGAGCACAGCGTGCGTTGGGTGCCGCGGCGGAAGACGGAGTGTTGCCAGGAGGGCTGGCGTTGGCGGCTGCGCCGGCGCCAACGGCCGCTGCGGAGACACAACGCGCAGCAGCACTCCTCCAGGATGCGCAGGTACTGCTCGCGGAAGCGCTCGTTCATCAGGTAGATCAACGGGTTAATCGCGGAATTCAGGAAGCCCAGCAGACTGATCAGGCGCAAGGTAAAGAACTGTAATGCATCGAAAGGTCACTCATTTTAATCGGCAGTATTTAAACATTTTTAAGGAAATAATAAAAGAAAAATTCGTCTATATAAATAATTTTAAAAAAATAAAATAAAAACATGAGAAGCTCTGTACCTACAAAGTTGCTCTTCTCGAAGAAATTGTAGATGTACTCCACGAAGATGGTGACGAAGAAGTAGGGCGACCAGCAGACTGCAGATCAGATGGAGGTCACTTAAAGGTCACCATTGCCGGTTGGCTGATATTTTATATAATCTGTATGTATTATGTCAAAGGTCGCTGACTTACTGGCGAATCCGATGCTGACCACCACCATCATGGCGGCTACCTGTAAAAAAATAAAAATGTCAAAAAATAAGCAATTAAAAAAATTCAATCAAAAATATACAGAAATGCTAAAAAAATATAATGGTAAAAAATATGATATTAAGACAGTAATTATTAAAGAGAAGTGGGTGAGTGACCTTTCGGCGGTTATCCTGGTGGCGTTGGTTGTTGTTTGCGGCGCCGGCGGTGAGGTGGTCGAGGGCGTCGGGGCGCAGGGAGGAGGCGCGGCGCCGGCTGGCCGTCTCGGCGGAGCTCAAGGGCGAAGGAGCGCTGCCGTTGGCGTTGGTGTCGTTGTGGAGATTGCCGTTGTGATGGGGATGGAGCGGAAGCGGAAGGATGTGCTGTGTGCGGAAGAGCGTGCGGATAATGAGGCCGGATGTGGTGAGGATGATGAGCAGGGGCAGGCCGTACACCACGATGAAGAGGAAGAGGAAGTAGCCCTGCATCATACAGCTGCACACTATACATACTGTAGAAGTTTATTATTTTACAGAATAAAGTATCAGTGTCCTAAGTGCAACAGGCAGCGCGTTCACGGGTATTAGCATTCGTTGTTCAGCCGGGATTTGGCAGCGGAAGCAGCGCACCCTTTCCGGCCCATACAGGCATCGGCACTGGGCTGGAAATAATTCCAGCATGCGCATAACATGCAGCAGCGATTGCGGAGATTGCGCGGAATGAGCAGTGAGCAGTGGGAATATAGGCAGTGCAGCGTTAATAAGCCGATCAGTTCCCGTCGCATAACACCAGTACCCAGCACAACAAGCCGGGTGTTCGGGGAATTATGTTAAACAGTAGATATGTATACACGGACCTTGCGGAAGTCGGGCGCGAAGGCGTCCTCGCAGATGGAGACCTGCAGGCGGCCGTACGCGCTGTGACAGCGGATGGTGCGCGGACTGCTGCCCAGCAGCGTGGGAATGCCTGCCCAGTACAGATACATGTACAGCCAATCAACACCGTGTCAACATCACTTAACTAACCATGTCGTTATACATGCTAATCAGTACTAGTGTGGTAATATCTGTATAACGAAGCGCTGGGGCGTGCCGGTTGTTTAATAATTAACTTATAATTAATGGAAGTCGTTAACGTTCGTTGGCGCTTACTGATGACGGCGGCCAGCAGCCAGGTCAGCGCGATGTACACCTTGATGCGCAGCCGGTTGCCGAAGCGGCGCGAGTGCAGCGGATACACGATGGCCACGAATCTGTCCACAGAAACCTTGCAGTCAGTGGATATGGTTGTATAGACAGATACTCACATAATCACTACTCGTAGCCGGTACACCGATATCTCTGTACAGATACACAGACATATAAGAAAAAGGACCCGGCAAATTACCGGTAATTTTTATAAGAGCGGTTGACCTTTAGAATTTTATCCGTAATTTTTTTATAAACAGTAGCAAAAGTGGTTTGCCGGTTAATGTGCAGCTGCATATGTATTATGTGTACAGCAGCCGGAAGCCAGGCGAGACTGACTGACCTTTCCACGGAGATGATGAGGAGCGTGAGGATGGTGGAGAAGACGGCCACGGACTGCGCGAACGACAGCGCCGTGCACAGCGGCTCACTGAGCAGTCTGCAGTACATATGTAAGTGCTGGTTAATATTATTTCGTATAAACTATATCGCTAGCTACCTTTTCTATAAACAGTATATACAGTAATTGTATAATTATGGACATATGCAAATAATACAGCACATAATGCATTCATACTTACAGCATATAGATATTAGAGTGTATGTTTTTGTATATATATTTTATACATATCCATATATTATTAATTTTATTAATGTATATATACAGTATATGTATTTTTCTATATATATATAATTGTATTATTATGCACAGGATTGCAGCATACATGACTGTACAGTATTTGTATGTACATGTACGGTATCTATATCCGAACTGACCGGTACTCGGGCGGCACGAGCATCTCCAGCAGCTTCACCGGGCTGACGAAGGCCCCCACCAGCACGTCCGACACTGCAACAATCACGCCATGAAATTCAGCACCGCCATATGAATATAAATACAGATCTTACTATAAAAAATTGTGGAATATTTCTGCTTGTGGAATATAACAGATTTCCCTGTACGCACGAGTCCACGGCTAGACTCGGGCGTTCAGCGCCAACCGGAAGTACTGTAATCACGGTGGAAGGGCACGTCGCGTCATGATCAACGCACCGCGCTGCGCGGTAGCACATAATAAATTATGATAATTACATAATTATGTTGCCGGCTGTAGTGCGCGCAAATACACCGTAATATCATTGACAGGCAATTGCTTCGACGCGGCTGTCGCGTACGCAGGCAATTGTCCCGTCCGTTGCATGCGGTCGTCAGGGAAATTGATGCGTTTATGAACGATCAGTCTGTACATTGCATTCCTGTGCACGGCGCATTTTAACCGACCAAAAAGGAAAGACACAACAACGCAGCGACACACACGCGTGTCGACGAACGTTCAGTCACGTTCCACCGGAAGTCGGCCCGCGTTGGCTGGCTCCATCGCGGAACGGCCGTTAAAAGTGGAGAATGCTCGGGGAAATGGCCGGCACATCCGCAGCACCGATTCCTCAACGTTCATCGCTCAATGACATTACACAACTTACTTTTGCACTTTTCTGTCAGAGCACAGAGTCAGAAACATTCACACCGTTGCGCGTATTCGAACAACATCCCTCTACTTCACGGCGCACTTGACCTTTCTTGCACTTACGCAAGTACCAGCGTCTACTGCGATCGGTAATTCAATACACGGCGTGTTTATTACAAATACACATTATTAAGTATTTTATTAAACTAATATCCTAATAAAATTATTAATACTGTTAATAAAATTTATAACAAAATTTATAATAAATAAAAAATAAATAAATTTATTTTCTTAACAACATATATATGTTGTTAAAAAAAGAATATATATTGCATTGGTATTTTGTTAATGTACCGAGAAATGCGGACAGTGTAGCAATAAAATAAAGAATAGTATTACTGTTATATAACAGAAAACCGGCTGGTATGCATACAATGCCGGTAATCCGCGTGCGGCGTGCGTGCCGACATGCAGCGACTGTTGATGACAAGCTGCGCTTCTATACGTGAGAATAGTCCGCGTGATTACATTAATTGTCCGGCCAATCGCGTACTAAAATAGCCATTTTCAAGTGCAGCACCGGAAGTAAACGGCGCCGGGAGATGACCGCGCCAGGTGGTCCGGGCGCTGGCGTGGCCCCCGCCCGCGACCGCCAACAAGGCCGCTTCGTTAAGCAATTCCGCGCGGCGTCACGCCGGGCCGTTGTACTTGTCGATCGGTGGCGTTACGTCATCGTGGCGGCTTAATTAGGGATCAACGCTGGCTGCTACTACAGCCGGCGGATTATCCGCTGTGTATGTAACAAGTAACAATGCGATCCGTGTTATCGCCCGGGAATGAGCCGCTGCTTCCGAATAATGTGTACAGACAATTCCGCCCGTTTCCCATATATTTTTTGTATATTCATTTTGAATCATTCCTCTATATTTATATATGCATAAATGTTCTGGTGCATAGTTTGTACTCGTACCATGATACTTATTAAAGGTTGTAACAATTTACGTATGTATACATTATACATACATTATATGTAGTATATATTATATATATACATTTACGTAATATACGTTAAAGTATACGTACATACATTTATATATATGCATTTACGTATATGTATATATATATATATATATATATATATATATATTAAGTTTATGTTATTATACAAAAAAATGATTTACGTATATGATTTACGTATTTTCGCATGTATACATTTGAATTAAGATTGTGGTGTATCCGGCCGGATCTAAACAGGCATACTTGTTTTTATACTGCACGATACACAGCTGCGAGTTACGAACTAAGTGTAGTCGATCAGCCAACATGTCCGTCGCGCTTGAATGCGTTCCCAGGAGAGCCCCACACCGAACTTTACTACGTCAACGCCAACGTTTCCCCCGTCGACAAGTTCACCGCATTTTTCTTACACAATTGTGCCGCACAGCGGCGCTGCCGTTCGACGAGTGGTTAGCGACGCTGACCCGTTAATTGCGGCACGGAGCATGTATTTCGGGATCAGGGTCAAGCGGCGATTTTCAGTTATTTCAGCGCCGGTGTTCTATGACTGCGGTGTAGAGCTACTCAGCTACTGCTATGGATATCGTCGTGCAGTGTCAGGATAAATTAATTTGACGGGCAACCGGTCAACACACCACTTGACGCTGTAGTACGCCACATCAACACACACGTTCGCGATGGCCTAGTTAACGTTGGCCCGCGCTCAAGCTCTGACTCTGACTCAGACTCTGACCGCTCAAACTCTGACTCTGACTACTCAAAGTCTGACTCTGACTGTCCAAACTCTGACTCTGACTGAATAACCAAGAACTTAAGAAATCTAAGAAACCTAAAACCTGAAAACTAAGAAACCTAAGAAACCTAAGAAACCTAAGAAACCCCTAAGAAACCTATTAAGAAACCTAAACCTTCAGAGTCAGAGTCAGACTTTGAGCGGTCAGAGTCAGACTTTGAGTCAGAGTTTGAGTGGTCAGAATCAGAGTCAGAGTCAGAGTTGGAGTCTAGGCCGTTAACGTTAACCCGGCGACGTTGCCGCAGCGTCTTACAGCGCAATTAGCGCCCGTCAACGCTGTCAGCCATCACATTCCCAACTCCTGTCAAAGCGCATGCTACACTCTTATTAACCAGAGATATTTCTCTGATTACACGTGAACCACGTAAAGGTCATTTTAACGGGACAGACTGGACAGCGACTACTGATGTATATATGTATATATGTGCACTATACATGATTTAAATATCTTTATGTAATATTAGGCCAATTAACCGGCCTTCTCCTGCATGAATATGTGCAGGCAATTCACGCCAATAAAATGCGGCGTCTGTCGCCAGTAATCAATGTCCATGCAGCGGGGATTATCCCGTGCGTGTAATGCGCTTCGTTCGTGGCATATTAATAACATGCAATGATTGATCGTATGCGCAGGTAAAAAAAAGCACCTACTGGCTACGTTCCGGCAGATTTCGGACGTTTCTCCTGATGGTATAATAAAATGTTAAGGTTGTACTTACCGGCGAGGTTGCAGATGAGGTAGTTGACGTTGGTGCGCATGCGGCGCTGCCCGAGGACGACGAGGATGACCAGGCCGTTGCCGAGCACCGTCAGCACGATGATCAGCAGGTAGGCCGCCACTAAGACCTGCCGCACGCCGGCCACCTGCATCAGGTCCGCGTACTCGAAATCCTCCGCGGCCGATTCGCCCGTCGTCGACTCGGGCGGCCAGCTGCGGTTGCCGCGCCACACCCCGTCCTCCGCCTCGGCCAGGGCCATCTCACGATCGCATAATATTATATACCGGCATTCTAACGTCTTCCTCGTGGTGTCCTTTAGAATTCCTCATAATAAGAATTCTTCGTAAATATTATTATGCACACGTCGACAGAACTATACAGGCTGTCTTCCGGTGAGATAAACAGAATGCATCGCAATTGCCAATTGGCATTCCGGCGAGCCAACGACAGGACAAGAAGCGGCGTGAGAAGAAACATCCAACAAACAAATAACGCCACGTACAAGTACGACCGCTGCTCAATGCAACCATCAACGCCCGTCATAACAAACGCCGATGAGTCATGTATTATTATTCCTGTATGTGCAAACATGTTCTGTACGCAACTTCCGGCAAGTACGATACGCCGTATAGAAGTAGCAATACAGAGTACTTTATTAGTTAAAGGCAAGCCTGGATGAAGTCGTAGTACGTATCTGTTCACGTACACGTACAGCACAATGTACGCACAACACGCACAGTTTTCCCGGTACAACTTACGATTAATTCTCACGTACCGCAGCAAAAACAATTTAATTATTAGTACTGTTAAATTCAGCTCAAGCAACACCCAGCTGTACGTGCCCACTGCCAACGGGATGCTGTGGCGCGTATAAATAAATTATTCTGTAATTACACCGATGTCTACAGGAACGCCGGCTGTTCAAATCAGAATGCTGTTGCCGGATCAATGCAGTTCGGTTTGTACACTGCAGAGCGGTACACTGTACGGGTTAGTTGGATTATATTCAGCCGAGTTTTGCCGTCGACGTCGACCCGGCCTCTCCCAGTTCGAATTGTATCCATATCCAGATTAATTCCACATGTATCTGTACTTGCAGTTCAACCATCCGGGAAAAACGTCAGCAGACGAAATAAATCAGCAACTTTTCTTCTTTATCGATATTCTGTTGCTGCATCTACAACACTAACCGGAAATGGTACAACATTCGCAGTAAAAATAATTTATATAGGCTTTACAATGCACTACAGGTGTACAGATGTATGTACATGAAAACTAATTAATGGTTTCTCCCAGTATTATTTCGCGGTAAATTTATATTAAATTAGTCTACTGGTTCTCAGCGGCCGAAATGGCTGCCGAGCGCAGCGATATACGGTAGTAATAAGAAACAGAATCTGCTGCCTTCATTCCCGGAACGGCCGGACGTTTAGCGCGCCCCAGAGACGTGTATAATATCATGTCTATATTCCCGGTCGTAATCAGCTGCTGCATGCCGCTGGCCGGCTGCTATTGCTAATCCCATCAGCTGTGCGTCTTATGCAACCTAATGAATTTTCCCACCACTGAACATGATGATCCGCTCTGGATCAGGCTTTGTAAACTAGGTACAGTAATGAGTAGAGGAAATTATCACTGTGCTGGGTTTAATAAACATATTACTTGTCTATTATATTGAGTAACACCCCAACACCAGCATCTTCCGATATGCTAGCTCGTTGATTGCATTCGGCCTCGAAGAAACTGTAATACGCCTTCTCGTCTTCGCACGCCGATCCTCTTCATCCCAGCCGGACAACCTCCTCCGCCGGCGTATTATAATTTTATGCTAACATAATATGTATGTAGATATACCGGTATTTGAATAAATATTTATGTTATTTAGTTCTATATATATTATTCATAATTGTGTTTTATAGTTTTACATATTATGTGTATAAATATATATGTGATATATATTGTATTTTATATATATATATATATATATATATATATATATATTTGTAAATGTACATATAAATATATATGTTATATATAATGTATTTTAAATATTATATAAATGTATATATAAATATGTATGAGTGTATGACATATATATATACTTAACTTCTCTACGTATATATTATTATGTATTGCATTATCATATAAATGCAATGTATGTATACATAGATGTTATATATATAAATGCAATTGTATAATTATATATATATATATATAAATGCGCAAATTTCCATTATAATTATTACAATGGTTAAATTTCAGACATAAAAAAAATCCGAAAGTGTTAGTGTCATTCGTGATTTTAGGATTATGTTTAGCCAAGTTACTACTATGTACACGTAAATCTTGCCAGTGCCAAGGGTCAACAAGGATGCATCGAGTAAGTGAAATAATACGCACATTGCGTGCTATGCAGCAGGAAGTGTGCCTATAATGCTGTCTGGATAAGGCAGTGCTGTTGATTTATTAAAGATTTTCCTCGGGAGAGAATAGACGCGCACGTCACAGCGCGCACTAATGAAAATTAATCTGCCGTTGGATGATAACGCGGGATTCTGTTGCGCCGGTAATTAATGATGCACCAGTGGCACGCCGATTAAATTATGCAATATTCGCGGCGGCATGATGATGCCTATATATCCATCAAATCACGATCGCGGTTGCAGCCGAGCCCACGTGAAAAATGGCAGCATTTCGCCCATTATCCACTCGGACACTAATGCCTTGTCCCTTTCATCTGCAGAGCGCGGTTGACTATCCCGAATTTACTCGCCGCTTCCGCCTTTTTCTAATACTGCTACTGTACATATATATGAAGCGGCAGGCAGAGTAATTGTGCTGTGATTTATATACAACAATTTGCCTTAATCGCAACCCGGCCCGTAATAAATTTACACCCGATTTACGCGATCCATCTAGTTATATATATATCTCTCTGCAAAATGTGCTGTATTAGAAAATGTTATTTCCGGAGGGATACTGAGCAATTTAGCCAAATATTCAATTTCATGCCTACTGCACTGTGTATGCATATAATTTACATGCATACGATATTCGACATACGACGTAGGTGTAAAAGGCAGCAGATGGGCAGTTTACACGAGTACGCTGTACAGATATGTTGTAATCCCGGTGAAAATGTCACGCGTATATAGAAGGAAATCAATGCGACCCTTGTAAAATTGTAATGACTAGTGTATTTTGACCCGTGAATTTGTATTTGTCGCTGTGTCGACGCGCTAGAAATGACGGGACCAACTTGTACGTAAATGCCCGAGACACATTGTCCTGCAAGTTGTACTGACGGTCAGCTGGCAGAGACTGGAAAGGGCAGAACATACAAAATACATGTGGGTGGGTATCTGGTTTTGGGGCGGCGCTGCGCATCGCAGTACGCTGCCGGTTGTCGATGGGCGATGGGCGCGCTCGGCCGGCCATGCCCGGTGCGCGGAGCAGGCCGTTGTTGGGCGTCGCCGGGGCAGGACGGTGCGACGGCACAACGCCGTCAGACTGCAGCGGAATGGCGGAATGGCGGCATTGACACTTGGATCGGTCAGTTTAAAGTGATATCCTGGGCAGACTTCCGGTGGCAGTTCTGTATCGCTGCGCACTACACGTGTTAATACAACGAAATACATAGTACAGTCTGTCGGGTATCGCGCAGGCCAACTATGTCTTTATGCTATTTATCCGGCAGGATCGGACGTCCTGCTCTGCTCCTGTGGAGCGGAACCCAGTCAACTGCGTCAACGCAGTCTGAATACAAACACCGCTGCAACCAATCCCATACAGCATGGACAACGGTCAACGCTCGGCGCCGCACCATCCATCAACATACATCACTGATCCCGTGGCAGTTGAGTGCCATAAAACAACAGAACAGCAACAGGAATGAAAGCCCATAGAAAAGCATCCAGGAGGCTGATTCCCCGGAGGCGGTGCGTCGTGTGCGTGTTCACTTCTTGCCCTCGACGAGGATGATGTGGTAGCCGAAGCTGGTCTTGACCGGGGGGTCCGTGTAGACGGGACTGGCCAGGCTGGAGGTGGGCAGCGCGAAGGCCGCGTCCTGGAAGGGGCCCACCTGGTAGGCCAGAAGAGTCACAGTACGTTCAACTGCAGTACCAGTGTTTTGCAGTTGACAGTTAAGCCTAATGGAGCCTACCATGGAGCCGCGCGTCATCCAGCCCAGATCACCCTAAACACATGCAGACAGCTGCGAATGCGTCGCTATCAAACAGCAAGGAGACTGATGCCACTTACGCCCTGGCGCGCCTTGTCCTCGCTCAACTCCCGCGCCACCTCGTCGAATTTGCTCCCGGCCTACACAGAAAACAACAGCTGCACCATACAATTACAAAGAACAATTAAGTAAACACTCAACCATCAATTTATTTCAACAAGAAATTTGCTTTTTAAGACAAATAATCGATACAGAAATAATTAAAAAAAAAGGGGCACCAGAATAATCTCACACACAACCAACACACAACTGAGAAAATTCAGGGAAATTATCGCGCCAAAAAAAAACAGATGGCTCGCACCTGTTAGCCGTAAGAAAATTAACCGCAAACATCGCCGTGACAGCAAGAGTGGAAAAGTCAACGCAAAGTCTGATCAAGTACAGGCAAATTAATTCTACCAATAAAAACAGGCAGTGTGCACTGTGCACTGTGGTGCACGTCAGCACGTACTTTCAGCTTCTCCATGGCCTCCATGATCTTCCCGTGCTTCTCGCATAGGATGTGACGCACCTGCCACAATGCACCGACCAATAACACCAACATCCCCATTTTCTCTTTCTTAATATGCATTTTCTGCTAATTTATGATTATTATCTGTACAGTTACTAACACGTCACTTCAAAATACTATAGATATTCCTAAAAATGAAACAACATGATTTACAGGCATTATCAATTACTAAATATTTCCAATAAAACATACCTATCTTCGAGAAACCGAAGAAAAAACACAGCGAAAAATATAAAGTGGAACAAATGATAGACTCCCAAAGAAGAATGACTAAAAGCGTACCGTACAGTCTGTGAATGACTGCACAGTGTGCATACCTTGACGGCAGTGCCTCCTTTGCTCTGCTTGGCCGTCGTCGTCTTCTCCCCGTCCGCCGCTCCCTTGGCCTCCTTCTTCTTGTCGCCCTGGCCCTTGCTCCCGCCGCCCGCATCCTTCCCCTTCGGTGCCATCGCAATCCCGCTTCAAATTAACACGAGATCTTCGTGCTCGTCACAAACCAAAATATCGCAACTCAACAAAACTACAATTTCGCATCACCATCAAACACGATCTTCCAAGCAGCTCACGAACCCTAACTCACAACTACCGTTCTGGAATCCGCAGGAAAACGCGAAAGATGCCACGAGAATTTTCTGCTTGGCAAACTTTAAACTTTATTACAGATTAGTTGTGGAACTTGTGGTTCTACAAAAATCTGAAAATCAAAATAATTGAAAAATTCTCGAGTGTTCTGTCAGTTGCTTTTCTCTCCAAAACGAGAAATGGCATTCCCATTCCAGTTTGGCAATTTCCCAGTACCGTTAACACTCACCCAATGGAATTCCATTAGCACGGTTATTATTTTTGGAACCGGAAACCCGTCACACCAGATGTTCGGAACGAACTGAACCATTTGAAGCGAAATCGCTTACGCTCCAATCAGCGACGTCCGTGATAAAGCAGCGAATTGCTGATTGGTCGCCATGCGGAGGAATGTCCGGCCTCTCTGGCGTTCAATGCTCTAGCTGTGCGTCGCGACATGAACTGCGATTTCTGCTCCGCTCCGCAGACGAGCTCCTTTTCACACACACTGAGCATACACACAGACACAGAGCGTCTTTACTGTGGCGTACCTTTGATCTGCTGGTGGCTTAATAATTGTTATTGAGATCGATCTCCACTGCGTATTACTTATAAGGCGAAAGAGAAATTCCTCCAACCATCCTTTCATCCCGAGTCAGCCCATCCTGCGTGGCTTTGTCCATCGCGAAAGCACAAATTGGTCTCGTTAGCCAGTCAGTGGCGCAGTTGTCAAGCAGCGCAGTCTTCAGTCAGCAGTGTTACGCGTTGAAGAGCAGCTGGAGAATTGAGGCCACACTGATTTCCTTCGTTGGATTGTGAAGAAGCAGGAGCGCCTTTTCCCGGATTAACCAGTTCCTTCGGCGGGCGGGCATCCAACATGACGACGGACGAGGTGGAGCGCGCGGACAACGGCAGCGACGACTGCCCCGAGGTGAGTGAGGGGGGCGCCTGGTTTTCCCTGCTTTAAATCAGGGGGCGGTAGGGGCACCCGGGGGGAAATATTAATTTATCTTCCTTACAGTGTCCCCTGTGCATGGAACCCCTGGATCTCGACGACATCAACTTCTATCCCTGCACGTGTGGCTACCAGGTGGGTTCGCGGACTTTAGTTGTTTTTTTCTGCGGGGTCGCCAGCGCCAACAGCTGGTTGACAGGGAAACGGCGCGGCTGGGTAGCGGGGTGGATTGGGCTAATTAAAAGGGCTGCGGGGATGTCGGGACTAAATGTCCCGTTGAGTGCAGCCTACAGGAAGAAATCAGGGTTGGGCGCACTGCTCATCCGCTGAAACGAGCGACTAATGATCACTAATCCATAATTTTTATTAATTCTGATTTTTCAAAGCCACTTTAGCGATTAGGGAAAGTAGAGACGGGTAGGGAAGCGGGGGAAATCATTCCTGATGGAGACAGCTGCAGGCTGTTTTTTGCAGAGTAGCAGAGACGAGGAAGACAGCCGTCGCCGTATAATTCGCGCTGAGTGGTCGAGCATTTGATAAATTGTGTTTTACAGGTGTGCAAGTTCTGCTGGCATCGCATGCGGACGGACGAGAACGGTCTGTGTCCCGCCTGTCGCCAAGTATGCTTCCGTCGCATTCTCATTATTTTCCTATTTAAAATTAATTTTTATTGGTAGAAATATCCCGACGATCCTGTGGAGTTCCGGCCCATTGCCACCGAAGCGTAAGTCCACCGAAAATTAATCTACAATATGAGAAATTAATTTTTATTTTATTTCCATTTTTAAATAAATTTTCTCCGTAATTGTCGTTCGGTTGTGAAGAGAATCGGTGGAATAAATCGATTTATAAAATCAGAAACACATGTTCTTTTGGCGTTAATCATTGGGTCGTGAAATCAGGGTGTTAATTGGAATTTGTTTCCGGTTGACAGGATGCAGAGGTTCAAGAGTAAGAAGCAGCAGCAGCAGCGCGTCGGCCAGAAGCAGCGGAAGGACGGCGGCAACAAGGAGAAGCCCGGCGACCGCATCATCGACAGCCGCAAACACCTGGCCACCATTCGGTAAGCCGTAACATTTAACCAGCGCCGCGTGTAATTATCGATCGCTGTGGCTTGTCTGTGACGCGGCGCGGTATTTAGACATTTCTCTTCCCTTTAGCCATATAACTGCCGCATTATTTAATTATAAAATTGAACTGAATGTTCATAATGTAGTTGAATATAATTTTTCAATTAATTGCAGCGTGGTGCAGAAGAATCTGGTGTTCGTGATCGGGCTGCCGGGTAAGCTGACGGATCCCCGAGGTGCTGAAGCGGCCGGACTACTTCGGCAAGTTCGGCCGCATCCTCAAGGTGATGGTCAACGTGCTGAACGCCAACGGGACGCCGGCCTCCTCGGCGTCGGCCTACATCACGTACGTGCGCGCCGACGACGCCCTGCGCGCCATCAAGGCCCTCAACAACTTCCACATGGAGGGCCGCGTCCTCAAGGCCTCCCTCGGCACCACCAAGTACTGCGTCAACTTTCTCAAGAACACGCCATGCAGCAAGCCGGTCAGTGGGTCCCCTGTAATTAATTTTAACATTAAATGGAAATAAAAATGACGCTGATACGTATAAACAGGAGTGCATGTATCTGCACGATCTGGGCGACGGCGCGGCCAGCTTCACCAAGGAGGAGATGCAGCAGGGCAAGCATCAGGAGTACGAGAAGCAGCTCCTCGACGCCATCTCCGCCACGACGGTCCCGTCCGTCGCGGCGCCGGTCAACGCCAACGCTAACAACGTCCCGGCGCCGGCGCCGCCGCCGATCACCGTCGAGGCGCCGTCCAGTAAACCGTACGTCGTTCTACTCAGTCTAAAAAATATACAGAAAATTTAAATTGGCGGTAAAATATCAATCATTGAATGTAGAAATGCGGGATCGTCCGAGGAGGCGGTGGTGGAGCGCGGCGGGAACCGGCGCGCGGCGACGCAGCCGGTGCCGCTGCAGCGCGACTCCTCGCCGTCCTGCTCCTCGTCGGCGTCGCTGTCCTCGTCCAGCGGCAGTCTCAAGTCCTCGTCGCAGTCCTGCGAGTCGTCCTCGTCGCAGTCGCACTCGCCGTCGGAGCCGTCGCGGTCGGAGCGCAACAGCCCCGCCGTGGCCTTCGACCTCTTCGGCGACACCTTCGAGGAGTTTGGTAAGACTCTCGTCGTCGCTTTTATTTTTCCTGGAACGCGACACGTCTGATTCGACAGGCTTCGACCCGTGGAACGAGTCCTCCAAGGGCCTGGCCGATCTGATGGAGCTGGAGAGCCGGTCGCGCGGCACCTCGGCGTCGGTGGCGGTCGGCGGGGGGATGGGCAGCAGCCCCTTTGGAGGCGGCCAGGGAATGGGCTACAGTCAGATGCAGCAGGCGTATGGATATGTTGGCAATCATCATGCGATGGAGATGAGCCATACCACGGCGGCGGCGGCGTACGGGATGAGCGCCTACGAGCAGCAGCAACAGGCGCTGTACATGCAGCAGCAGCAGCACTACCGCCACCGCATGATGCAGCTCAACCGCATGGAACAGCAGCAGCAACAACCGGAAATGGTGCGCAATCAGCTGGTATAAACTGAATCAAATATTTTTATTTCTTCCTATTTTAATTAGATCGATTTTTCTGCAATAAACAACAATAAATTACTGTATAGTTTGAAAATAATCAGCAGAAGAATTTGTTTGGTTTCTATTTAATTAAACCAAGTTTTTTCTGGCATAAATTAAAATAAAATGTAGCTGAAGGAAATTACGAATTTTGTTTAAAAATCTAATTACTATAATAGATTAGTTATGGATTAGTTATGGATTAGTATGGATTAGTTGTAATGGATTAGTATTTAACCACAGTAATTCTGTCTGGCATTAGAAATTAAATTAAATGCCGTTAAATATTTGAAATTCTGAATGAATCCGTTAATGTTTTTCTGGCTTAATGGGCTAAAATAAGCACTACATTAAAAGCTTATTAATTGAAGAAGATGAAATAATTGTTTTCTGGGATTTAATTTGTAATAATATTGTAATTAAAGCAGGTTTTTTCAGCAGAAAAATAAATTAAAATAAAAAATCCTTGGAATAAAATGCTGATTAATTTTCAATTGAAAAGGGGGAATCGGCCAACTACGGGTACGGGAAATGGGCGGCGGGCGCGGATCCCGGGATGATGGGCTACCAACGCAGTGCGGCGACGCAGCGCCCGGCCTACCCCGACGGCGGCTACGTGAACCACAGCAGCAGCAGCGCCGCGCCGCAACAGTCGACGACCTTCTACAACCGGTCGGCGGGGATGGGCGCCGGCGCCGGCGCGGCGGCCCCCGCGGGCGGCAGTCAGGGCGCGTACCCGCACTACCGGCTGACGGTGCAGTGACGGAACAGGAACATCTTGGACAGGTTCATTCATTATTCCTCGCGCTTGTGGAAGGAGGGGCTCGCGTTTTAACTAGCCACTGTGCAGATTATACACAATCAACGGCTTCGTTTTATTTTGGACATACCCTGTTAAATATCGAATCGGCGTTTTTTCACAAACAGAATGGTGTTTTCTTGCGTGTTGCATAGGCACACGCTCTATACATAGTAGTAACAATCTTCAGTTTATGCCTGCTTGTTCAGACTGTACACGTACGCCGGGCTCAACAGGCTCCCGATCTGTGTGCGTACCGTTTTCTGTTTTCTTTTCGCTGGAGATTTATGGGCTCCTGTAACGCTTACACACCGTTGTTTCGCAATACAAAATGAATGGCATCTTTTGTGTTATCAGTCGCGTGTTCCCGCTGTTTTTCCTATGAATTTTTACTCACGTTTCTACAATTTTATTCACAAAACAACTTTCTTGATGATTATAAGTAGTTTCTTTACGATTTACCTATAATTTCTTCAGAATTTTATTCGCGTTAATTTGCTGTCTTGTACACACGAACCAATAACTGGAGACGATATTTAATCTGTACAAGTGTACCGATATCACGAAAATACGTATGGTCGTAATTAAATTAATTATAATTTATTTATGGCTTATGAATTCATTGAAGTTTATTGTATTCGATATTCCTGATCATATACAGTAAATTATTTCAAAATTTAGGTATGTAAGTACATTAATTATCGTTTATTAGATTAGAACTGTAGAAAATTAATTATCGTTTATTTTCTTCATTTGTTTAACAATTTCATTACTCATGCCTTCTAAATATACAGCGACATGTTGTGTAAAACAAAATTATAAATACAGTAATTTACTGAAGATTTACTTACTTAAAATTTTTTTAAAACTTTTTTACTTGTTTTGACGGCCTGTTTAGATTTATTCGCGTTTATGTACATACTATGTGAATTTTCCGTTTTACGTTATGTTCTTTTTTAGTACTTTTTATTCATAAGAAAATTAATAACAGCAGTATCGCGATAAGGTATATTAATTATGCAGACAATTTCAGTACTTTGGTACATAATTTATTGTTTTTCAGGAATTTTACTCAAATTTCTTGGTTTTCGATTCGCACAACAAAAACAGCAGATCACATGGAAACATTATCGCAAAAAACTGTAATTATAACTGTAAATTATTATCCACAGCGATTGGCCCAAGACCAAATTAAGCCAGTGAAAATAATTTGCGCAGTCAACTAAGGACAGTACTTTATCAGATCACCGGCCGGCAACGACAAACAAGCAGACCGTTAATGAAAAAACAGTGCAACCGTCAACAGCACAAAACAAGAGCAACACGTTTGTTGCCGAGATATGGTGAAACAAAATGGGCAGAAAGTTTAAGGGAAATGGCCCGGTACATGGTACGGATTGGTACCAAATTCGTGTACCTGCGCGAAAAGTTCACTTTCGCGCTACTGGTTATTACCCGATCTTCTTGATACTTTGCTGCAAAAGACACAAGGCCATAAGGTCGCAAGTGAACCAATTCCAGGTTCACAACACTTTCCCATAATTTTAAAATGAATTTTAAAATTCTTGAAATTCATTTTAAAATCGGAAAAAAATGCTGCGAATCTGATACTAGTACTGGTTCACGTTCGACCTTATTACAAAGGTCAATTTTATTGCAAGTATACATCGCGTATTACAAAAGTAACAAGAAAAACAATCATTGACATCATTGCCGTTCAGCTAATTTAAAGGCAAAATACACATCTTCCTTCTCAACCAGGTCACTAAAAGTACCGAGACTGATACTGCATTTCCTCTCTGAATCTCGATACCAATTCTCTGACGCAAAAATTGTCTTATCATGTGTCTTTTGCAGCAAAGTTACAAGAATATCGATTATTATCGGGTAATAACCAGACTTTTGGTACACGACAATGCATTTAAACTTTTCGTACGTTTTAGTTCGCCATATCTCGGCAACCGAACGTTGCGCGCGCAAACGGTTTCCAGAACAATGTAAACAAATCATTTAGCTTTAGAATAACATAAAGTATTCAAAAAAGTGATCTGGAGTGCGCGCAAGCGAAAGTTTTAGTGCATGTATACCGTTTTGGACGCTATGCACCGGGCTATTTTCCTTAATCTGTACGTTAACAACATTTTACAGTTCTTCTGTTTACGGGGTGTTTTAACTTACTTGAATTCTGATAGCACATACAAAAAAAAAACCGAAATACCCGCAACATCCGGACGAGTACGAGGATTCACAACGTGTAGACATTCGCGGTCTTAACGGCAACAATTCGGATGTACATATCACAGAATACTGATGCCAACTTCTCTGATGCTTATTATTGTCAACTTGGCTGTAATACTTTAACACAGAATTGAAGGCCATAAACATCAGGCAGGCTGTATACAGAATCGGGCGGTATGAGACAAAAACATATTGGGTAGGGGAATGAAGGCTCGCAGCGCTAATGGCTGCCGTCGACTGCGAAAGCCTGTAACCGGTATTTCGTCCCGTTCCACCCAATGCCAGCCAGCGCCTCAAGCCGACGTTAGCCGGTGGCGGTAGTTTCGGCAATGAACCTGGTTAGGGTTCACATGTCTTAATGTGCCTTTTGGGTACAGTACACGCGCTCTACAGTGTGCTGGGAGGGCACGCAAAGATCGAATCCCAGTGGAGACAGAGAAGGTTGACGAAGGGTCCACTGCCGATGACGTCCGCCATGCGGCCGATTCGCAAGAAGCCGGCGTGGTCCGCAACGCCGGCCGTCATTGAGACGCTCGATGAGTTGGATCGCACTTGTTTAGGAAAATAATATGATTGTAAACAACAACAAGTAACTGTGCCCCGGTAGTGAAGTGCAGTGTGTCTCTCTTACGCGAGACTTCCAGTCGATACATTGTGTTTTTGAAACGGTACTCGTACAGTAATATCTATATAAAATATAAACATTGATTGACGTATTATAAAAGTCCTTATACATACTTCCTATAGCTATTGACAAGTCTTAGGTGGCCACTGGTTATAGAAACCTAAGAAACTGCTGGAAAATTCTGGTTGCCACTGGCTATATCTCTGTATGGGCCCGGATGCCTGGCTTAATTGATAGAAAACTTCCAAACATAACTTGCAGGACGGGGGTTGCCTTGTAGTAGTACTAGTAACTAGTAAGCAGTACGTACTACGTACCTAGACAAAGCATCACTACGGCTGCGTACAGCGATTTTAGGAATTCACACAATGCGTAATGAACACGGTGAGTTACTATTTAAGCGCCCTTTCAGATAAACGCGAAAGCACTGTAAAAGATGTGCTGAAATTCCGGCACTCGCTAACTTAACGGTTCACATTGGGGCACTTAAATGCCTTGTACTATCGCTGGTATTCCTTTGAACAAAATATTTGGCTAGTCTATTTGCGATTAAGCTGTTTGTGGTTACGTGGAGATTTGTATTTATTCGTTTCGTACAAATAACAAACCCGAAAAGACAGCACTCCCAAGGCTCCATCCCTCAAGTACTGCCAGATGATTTGCGGACAAAAACGTTCACTGCTGCCGCGTTGTTGCCGGGGCATCCTTTCTCGCTTCCAGTAGCGGCGTTTTCTTTCGCGGTTGGCAACGACAGCCAAAGAAAAAACCCCGCTACTTCAAGCGAAGGGAACGGTAAGGCAAGACCCTTCAAATTATTTCATCCTGGGTCGCCGTTCGACACCAGCAGGCTGTCAGCGGCAATGCCAGTTTGGGAAGACTGCCAAAAATGACAAGATTAACCAACTATAACATTGATTAAGAAACGAGCGGCAACGGCCGATAAAGCATCACTGAAATCAGTAAGTACACCATACACAATCATGACTAGCTAGTGTCTCCACTCCATGTTGGGTTGCCGTGCACGAAATTACGAATGACGGCTGTAACGTGCGTGGAGACAAACTGCATCACGAATATAGTTCCAGCTTCTTCACAACGATTCTCCGATCTATAAATCGACGTTACTTAAGTAAAAGTGGATCAAAATAAAGCAGATTCTGACGAATTGACGTCCAATCGGTACAAAAACACATCTCTCGGCGACAGACGGCTTGGGTACTAGTCCAAAGCAGCGCAAATTAATTTCAAGGCGAAGGGAAAGACAGAGGTAAGTATACGTGTAAAGTATACTTGACATGCGCACCAGAATACAGGCAGCAGCGAATCACTGAAGGGAGTACCGTCGTACTGCGTACTGTGGCTGTATACTCGTATTGTACAATCGATCGATAACACGATGACTGTGTCATCATGGAAGCGAGGAATGATGTGGGATTAATTAATTACTGTACTGTACTCGGCCATCGATCCAGATTATTCGCGTCTCCATATACGAGTACAACGTGCTCGCTCAGCAGGCCGATCGATGGTGTTGTCAGAGGCGTACGACTGCGCCTGGTGCGTACGGTCCACACTGGACGTACTTGCACTCATGCTTGCCGTTATCGCCTCTCTCGCTGTACGTACGTGTGCTGCTGCACTGCACTCATATCCGCTGAAGCGGATATACGCAGCGCATACACTGAGCCACACTTGCTCTCTCGTTCCTCTCTCGCAGTATGACTCAGCGTTCATACGCTCGCGTTGGATTGAGTCCAGTCTGCGCATCATCACACAGCTGATGGCACACAGCACGTGCTTGCCGCCAGTTGCTTCTTTCACGCCTTGGCGAACGCTCAAGAGCTTTTCTAGCAATCACTTGCTTGTTTAGCCATCAGTGCTTTGTTCTCGCATTCCCTGCTATTACGCAGCATTGTTCCTTTATTTGTACAATAAAGCATCACTCGTGATCTCCTCGCGCTTGCCTGTTACATGGTAAGCAGATCGTCTGGTTTTCTTTCCCACGGAATCTTTGAGGAGACGGTGAAGGCTCAAATTACGGAGAACTCGTGAAGAACCTGAAAGTCACTGTCAGATAGATTGCTGAAGCAATCTCTGCCCTTGACTTTGATCGGATTGATCGCATCGTCTTACAGCTGAGGAAAACGAGGATCACTGAAGTGATTCTTGCCCAGCTGGTGAGCACAGTTCCTTGGTCTCTTCCACATTGAAGAGCGGAATCTCATTTCCCGAACGTACGGAATTTCTCTTCCCTCAACTGACGGACCAGACTCGAACGAGAGTCTGCAGCGCGACAGGATTAATCCAATAATACGGGGACCTTTGCTTTGAACAGCGACCCGCAACTTTACTCGCGGATTCAGCTCGGAAACGACGGATTTCCGACCTCGGACGGAGAAATCGACCGGAACCGACACCGACACCGACACTGGTAAAGTCACGGTTATAGGTCGATTTTAGCCGAAACTAGGTCGGCATTTCATTT